CTCAGCCTCCCGAGTAGCTGGGATTACAGGCGTGAGCCACCACACCCGGCTAATTTTGGTATTTTTAGTACAGATAGGGTTTCACCAAGTGGCCCAGGCTGGTCTCAAACTCCCGACCTCAAGTGATCCACCCGCAGGAGCCTCCCGAAATGCTGGGATTACATTATTTTATTATTTGTTATTATTTTATAACCTTATGATCTTAACTTACATTCCCTCCTTTGTTTATGATTTGATCAAAAAACGCTCCACTCGGCTTTAGGCCTGGGCCCCAGCCAGGACTTTGTAGTCAGCAGCAAAAACACAGTTTGGTAGCATGGCTCCTCTGAGCCTCAGTTTTTCCATCTGCACAGTGGGCTAAAGTCTGTGCTCTTTTAGGGATGTGTGGAGTGAGGATTTAGGGAAGTGACTCAGACAGAAGCATCTGGCACATAGGAAGCCCTCGACTAAGCCAGCTTGCTTTCTTTCTTTTTTTTTTTGAGACAGAGTCTCGCTCTGTCACCCAGGCTGGAGTACGATCTCGGCTCACTGCAACCTCCACCTCCTGGATTCAAGCCATTCTCCTGCCTCCGCCTCCCAAGTAGCTGGGACTACAGGCACGCGCCACCATGCCCAGCTAATTTTTGTATTTTTAGTAGAGACAGGGTTTCACCATCTTGGCCAGGCTGGTTTTGAACTCCTGACCTCAAGTGACCTGTCCACCTCGGCCTCCCAAAGTGCCGGGATTACAGACGTGAGCCACCACATTCTGCTTACCATTCTTTTTTCTTGCCTCCCAGGTCTACAGCAGCTCTGAGTTCCTGGCTGTCCAGCCCACTCCTACCTTTGCTGAAAGGAGCTTCAGTGAAGACCGGGAGGAGGGGTGGGAGCGAAGCGAGGTGGACTATGGCCGCCGGCTGAGTGCTGACATCCGGTAGGTGGCCTAGGGAAGTGTAGGCAGATCCAGCTTCCAAGCCTGCTGGGAGGTAGACACAAAATCTGATGCAAAGGGAGCTTCCTAGTGGCCAAGTAGAAAAGGGTCGAACATACTGACCAGCCTAATCAAGTCTCTGACAACCTTGCTGCCTTTGGCTCTGTGTTCCTGATCTCTTGTCTCATGCAAACATAAGACAGCTCTGCACCATCATGCTGCTACATGCACCTTTCCTTTTGTCCAGAATGTCCTTTGCTGACTAACTCCTGTTCATTTTTCAAACTGAGACACAAGAGAAATGGTCAGTGTCTGCTAGAGGATGGGTGTTGGAAGCTGGCCGTTTTTGTTTTTTTTTTTGAGACAGTCTTGCTCCATCACCAGGCGCCAGGCTGCAGTGCAGGGGCACGATCTTGTCTCACTGCAACCTCCACCTCCCGGGTTCAAGCGATTCTCCTGCCTCAGCCTCCCAAGTGGCTGGGACTACAGGCACGCACCACCATGCCCAGCCCATGTTGGCCAGGATGGTCTCGATCTCTTGACCTCGTGATCCCCCTGCCTTGGACTCCCAAAGTGCTGGGATTACAGGTGTGAGCCACTGCGCCCAGCCAGAAGCTGGCCTTTTTAAAAAAAATTGTTGGCCGGGCGCGGTGGCTCAAGCCTGTAATCCCAGCACTTTGGGAGGCCGAGGCGGGTGGATCACGAGGTCAAGAGATCGAGACCATCCTGGTCAACATGGTGAAACCCCGTCTCTACTAAAAGTACAAAAAATCAGCTGGGCATGGTGGCACGTGCCTGTAATCCCAGCTACTCGGGAGGCTGAGGCAGGAGAATTGCCTGAACCCAGGAGGCGGAGGCTGCGGTGAGCCAAGATCGTGCCATTGCACTCAAGCCTGGGTAACAAGAGCGAAACTCCGTCTCAAAAAAAAAAAAAGAAATTGTTTAAGAGATTGGTTCTTGCTCTTTTTCCCAGACTGGAGTGCAGTGGCACGATCATAGCTCACTGCAGCCTCAAACTCCCGGGCTCAACAGATCCTCCCAAGTAGCTGGGACTATAGGCACCTGACACACACCCAGCTAATTTTTGTATTTTTAGTAGAGACAGTGCTTCAACACATTGGCGAGGCTGGTCTTGAACTCCTGACCTTGTGATCCGCCCGCCGCAGCCTCCCAAAGTGCTGGGATTCCAGGCATGAGCCACTGCATCTGGCCAAACCTGTCTTTAAAAAAAAACAAAATGGTGAATAAGAGGTCCCCAGGTAGACAGAGGACAGTGCAGACAGAGGGAACTACTCATCCCGTCTATGTAAATTGCCCCTGACTGCAGACTGGGCGTTAAGATGTGGCCATGAAAGGTGACCGAGTATCCTAGGTGCAGTGCCTGGCAGCGCCCCGCAGCTTCTTCCTCCCCGCAGGCTGAGGTCCTGGACGTCCTCGGGATCCTCGGGTCAATCATCTTCATCCCAGCCCGAGCGGGGTCCCAGCCCCTCTCTCCTGAATACCATCAGCTTGGACACGATGCCCAAGTTTGCCTTCTCATCAGAGGATGAAGGGGCAGGCCCAGGCCCTGCAGGCCCCAAGAGGCCTGTCTTCATTCTAGGGGAGCCTGACCCACCCCCAGCAGCCACCCCAGTGATGCCCAAACCATCGAGCCTTTCTGGTAAGTGGGGCTCTGAGTAAGAGGGAGGGATGATGTCATGGAAGTTTCCCAGAGGAGGGGCTTTTTGAGATGGGTTTTCAGGGATGAGTAGGAGTCCTTCAGAGTCAATAAAGGGTTTAAGATAAGAGAAGCCAGGTTCTTAGAGAGACCTCCAACCCCCAAGGAACCGCAGTCTAGGGTAATTCTCCCCGCCCCCACCTTCATACAGTCAGGATGGGACCCCTAGCTCCCAAGATGGGGGAACTAAGGGTCTAAATGGGTATGGAGGAAGGCTTCCTGGAGGAGGAGACTTGAAGACTTTTGCATAGAGAGTAATCTGGGAAGGGAGTGCAGGAAGAGGGAACTGCATGAGCAAAGGCCAGGAGGCTGGACTGTGTAAATAGCGACCAGGGAGGAAGGGCCTTCCCCTTCCCCTTAGAGGGGCCACGTGGTGAGTTTGAGGGGCGCCCGGCTGATCCTGCCGACCTCCTAGCCGACACAGCTGCCCTCAGCCATGCCCGTCTACGGAGCAACAGCATCGGCGCCAGACACTCCACGCCGAGGCCTCTGGATGCCGGCCGGGGCCGCCGCCTTGGGGCCTCGAGAGAGCCAGCCCCTGAGAAGTCCCGAGCCTCCTCCGGCGGCGGCAGTGGCGGGGGCCGTGTGCCCAAGTCGGCCTCTGTCTCTGCCCTGTCCCTCATCATCACGGCAGGTAACGCTTACGGCCCGTTCTCACCTCTGTCTGTCCACACCCATTGTAACCAACAAGGCGAAGGCCTTTCCTGAGGTGGGGAGGCTGGGACTGAGCCCCGGGAGAGGGGAGCCGGAGCGAGACCCAGGGAGAGCCGGGGGACAGTGTTCCCGGTGGAGGGCACCGCACGTGCAAAGGCCTGGAGGGGCGATGATGCTTGGGACACTGGAGCAATAGCAAAGTGACCAGGGTGGTCATCACGGTGGGAAAGAGGGGACCCCACGGGGGACCTGCGAGGGAGTGATTGACCCCCTCCCTGGCCCTCTGCAGATGACGGCAGCGGTGGCCCCCTCATGAGCCCCCTGTCCCCACGCTCTCTGTCCTCAAACCCGTCGTCCCGCGACTCCTCGCCGAGCCGAGACCCGTCCCCCGTGTGTGGCAGCCTCCGGCCCCCCATCGTCATCCACAGCTCCGGCAAGAAGTACGGCTTCAGCCTGCGGGCCATCCGCGTCTACATGGGCGACAGTGACGTCTACACCGTGCACCACGTGGTCTGGGTGAGCACCGGGCGGGAAGGCAGGGACCCGGCTTCTCGTCTGACCCCGCCCGGCCAAGTCCCTTCTCAGAGCTGCATTTTGGAGTATGGCAGGATTCGGGGACACAGCTGGTGCCACCAAGTTCATCGCGGTCCCTGTCAGTTGGCAGGGAGGAGGTCACATGAGCGAGACAGCGATGGATGGAGGCTAACAGATCCCAAGTGATGTTAACCGCCCAGCTCCGTAGAGGGGTGCGCTGGGCATGTTGTCCTCCCTCCCCCAGCCCAGCGGCATCAGTCCCACTTCGGGGCATCAGTCCCACTTCGGGGCATGCCCTTCCTATTGGTTGCTCCCTAAACAGACAGAGAAGCCTTTCTAGAGGAAGGGGCAGAGGAGCTGGGGCTTTGATGGGTGAGTAGGAGTTCCCCAGGATCAGGGAAACTGAGGCAGCACAAGAGGCAGCAGTTTGCTGGCGTCCCACAGCAGACCCAACCTGAGCTGGGGTCTCCAGATGTGGGGCCCAGGCCACTGAGCCCACTGTTCCCGTCTGCCCCCAGAGTGTGGAGGATGGAAGCCCCGCCCACGAGGCGGGCCTGCGAGCCGGGGACCTCATCACCCACATCAATGGGGAGTCGGTGCTGGGGCTGGTGCACATGGACGTCGTGGAGCTGCTGCTGAAGGTGTGTCCCCCCGCCACTGCCCACCGTCAGGGCTCCCGGCAACCCCTGGCCACAGCTCTGGGTTCCCCTGCTTCTCCCTGTCGAGACACACAATCCCACATCCACCGTCAACTCCAGGCCCTGCATGCCCTCCTCCTTCTGCCCAGAATACACATCCTTCTTCAGCCCCAGTATCACCCCTCAGAGCTCCTCCTCCAGGAAGCCCTCCGTTCTCCCTGGGTACCCTCACATCTTTTCCTCCCTCTTGCCTGAGACCTGGAGGTAGGAGATGGCCTCAAGAAAGGAGGAAGGGCCGGGCACTGTGGCTCACACCTCTCTTCCCAGCACTTTGGGAGGCCAAGGCGAGAGGATCGCTTGAGCTCAGGACTTTGAGACCAGCCTGGGCAGCATAGTGAGACCCCATCTCTACAAAAAATTTCAAAATAAAGTTAGCTGGGCTAGGTGGCATGTGCCTGAAGTCCCAGCTACTTGGGAGGCTAAGGTGGGAGGACCGTTTGGGCCCAGGAGGTGGAGGCCATAGTGAGCCGTGATGCCACACTGCACTCCAGCGTGGGGGACAGAGGGAGACCCTGGTTGTAAAAAAGAGTGAAGGGCCAGCTGCGATGGCTCACACCTGTAATCCCAGCACTTTGGGAGGCTGAAGCGGGTGGATCACAAGGTCAGGAGTTCGAGACCAGCCTGGCCAACATGGTGAAACCCTGAATCTACTAAAAACACAAAACTTAGCTGGGGGTGGTGGCGGGCACCTGTCTGTCATCCAGCTACTCAGAGGCTGAGGCAGGAAAATCGCTTGAACCTGGGAGGCGGAGGTTGCAGTGAGCTGAGACCGCGCCACTGCACTCCAGCCTGGGTGACAGAGCAAGACAACACCTCAAAAAAAGAAAAGAGTGAAGACTCCCATGTGGGCAGCTGTTGTGGGTGGCGCATTGAACAGACAGACTGTGGGCATGTGTCTTTGGCCTGATGACTCCTGGGCCATTAGGTGGGTGATTGGGGGATGGGAGATCCTGGGGTGATTAATGGATGGATACCAGGTAGGTGGGTGACAGACCCCGGGGGGCATGGAGAGTGAAGAGGGCAGGGCTCCATGGGCGCTGACTTCGGGTGAGGGGTCCCGGCAGGAGGGCTGGTGCTCCCTGCACTGTTTGGCAGGATTTGTTGGGTAGGTCACTGGTTGGGTGGATGAATGATGTCAGGGTGGGGGTTCCCAGCTGGTGCCCGGAGTGAAGGGGACATAGCAGCTGCCGGGCAAGTGCTGGGCCCTGCGAGGGCACAGAGGCAACCCCTCACCCTCCTCCCGCAGAGCGCCAACAAGATATCCCTGCGGACCACTGCCCTAGAGAACACGTCCATCAAGGTGGGCCCCGCCCGGAAGAACGTGGCCAAGGGCCGCATGGCGCGCAGGAGCAAGCGGAGCCGGCGGCGGGAGACCCAGGACCGGTGCGCGGCGGTGGCCACCAGGGAGCGGTACAGAGGGGGCGGACCGTGGGGACACGTGGTGGGGACAGGGATTCTTTTTTTCCTTTTTTTTTTTTTTTTTTGAAACGGAGTCTTGCTCTGTCGCCCAGACTGCAGTGCAGTGGCTCGATCTCAGCTCACTGCAACCTCCACCTCCCGGGTTCAAGCAGCTCTCCTGCCTCAGGCCCCCAGGTAGCTGGGACGACAGGCGCCCACCACCACGCCCAGCTGATTTGTGTATTTTCAGTAGAGATGGCGTTTCGCCATGTTGGCCAGGCTGGTCTCGAACTCCTGACCTTAAATGATCCGCCCGCCTTGGCCTCCGAAAGTCCTGGGGTTATAGGCGTGAGCCCCCGCGCCCGCCAGGAGCAGGAGTTCCGAGGCTCCCGGTTCTCTTACCCCAGGCGGAAGTCACTCTTCAAGAAGATCTCCAAGCAGACGTCCGTGCTGCACACCAGCCGCAGCTTCTCCTCTGGGCTCCACCACTCACTGTCATCCAGCGAGAGCCTCCCCGGCTCGCCCACCCACAGCCTCTCCCCCAGCCCCACCACTCCCTGCCGCAGTCCAGCCCCTGAGGTCCCAGCAGGTAGGTGCACCTATGGCCGCCAGCTACCCTGGGGGCAGGGGCTGGTGGGCCCCAGGCGGGAGTGAGCAGTCTGGGGTATGGAATGATGCGACGTTAGGGAAAGTGAAAGTGACGACCGGAAGGAACGTCTTCCGGGCTCCTGGTCTAGAAGGGAATCCGGGGGTACTCAGACCCTCGTGCAGGTGCCAGCAAAGGAGGTGCCCTCAGAGGAAACATCATGAACAAATGGGGCTAGACAGGAGGGGTGGGGAGTCTGAGAGGAGGCTGGGCTCGGAGGCTTGGGCCTGTAATCCCAACACTTTGGGAGGCCAAGGCGGGAGGATCACTGGAGCCCAGGAGTTTGAGACCAGCCTGGGCAACACAGAGAGACCCTATCTGTACAAAATATTTAAAAATTAGGTGGGTGTGGTGGTGCACACCTGTGGTCCCAGCTACTCAGGAGGCTGAGGGGGGAGGATCGCTGGAACCCAAGAGGTTGAGGCTATGGCTGAGCCAGTGCACTCCAGCCTGGGGACAGAGCAAGACCCTGTCTCACAAACAAACAACAAAAGCCAGGCATGCTGGGTGGCCACAGGGAAGGATAGGGCTTTAGCGGTGTTCGTGAGTCTCACAACTCCACCTCCGGGCTGGGGACATTGAGGCCGGCAGCCCTGACGCACCCTTATCACCCACAGACACCACCGCGTCCCCACCCAGCGTCTCCCCGAGCTCCAGCAGCCCTGCCTCCCCAGCTGCTGCCGGCCACACCCGCCCCAGCTCCCTGCACGGCCTGGCCGCCAAGCTGGGGCCACCCCGCCCCAAGACTGGCCGCCGCAAGTCCACGAGCAGCATCCCGCCCTCCCCGCTGGCCTGCCCGCCCATCTCCGCGCCCCCGCCGCGCTCGCCCTCGCCCCTGCCAGGGCACCCGCCCGCGCCTGCCCGATCCCCGCGGCTGCGCCGGGGCCAGTCCGCTGACAAGCTGGGCACAGGGGAGCGGCTGGATGGGGAGGGGCGGCGCGGCCGCGGGCCGGAGGCCGAGCTCGTGGTGATGCGGCGGCTGCACCTGTCCGAGCGCCGAGACTCCTTCAAGAAGCAGGAGGCCGTGCAGGAGGTTAGCTTTGATGACCCGCAGGAGGAGGCCACTGCGCTGCCCGCCCCGGTGCCACAGATCGCCGTGGAGGGCGAGGAGGCCGTGCCAGTAGCTCTCGGGCCCACTGGGAGAGACTGACCCCCCTGCCTGGTCTCTCCCTGGCCTCAAAGTCACGCGTTTTTTTGTGCAATGTTTTTTTTTCCGTAAAGTCATGCCTGGATGGAGCCTGAGCCACCAGTCTGACACCCGGAAGGCGAGAAGCCATCTCGGTCCTTGCTGGAAGGTGGAGACACGCTTCCCTTGTGTTCTGGTGTCAATCAGGGGGCCGGACGGGGCAGGAATGGGGGACAAGGGTGGCTTTGTAAATAGCAGCAAATCCCTGCAACTAATTTATTATTTTTTTTTTTTTTTGAGACTGGGTCTCACTCTCACCCAGGCTGGAGTGCAGTGGCGCGATCTCGGCTCACTGCAACCTCCGCCTCCCAGGTTCAAGAGATTCTCCTGCCTCAGTCTCCTGAGTAGCTGAGATTACAGGCACGTGCCACCATGCCAGGCTAATTTTTTTGTATTTTTAGTAGAGGCGGGTTTTCACCATGCTGGCCAGGCTGCTCTCGAACTCCTGACCTCGTGATTCGCCTGCCGCGGCCTCCAGAAGTGCTGGGATTACAGGTGTGAGCCACCGCGCCTGGCCTAATTTATTACTTTTTATAAGCGATATCGGACTGAGCCACCCCTTGAAGGCGGCTGCCAGGTCTTGCCCCAGACACCTGGGACCCTGTTTGCAGGCCCTGCCCGCTGGGCTGAGAAGGAAGCACTTTGGACAAGTCATCTGTGTTTGTGTTTTCTAGTTTTTCTGTAGTTTTTACGTATTTTGTGTTACCAAGTCTCACTCCCCTCCCAAGACCCACCCGTTGAGGGGATGGAGCCGAGCTCACCTGTACGGGTCCGTAAACGATTCCCCTCACCCACAAAACAGTGTAATCCCAACGATGGACTGGACTCTGAAGGCCACTTCCCACCGTCCCTGCTAGAGTCTGCCTCTAATCCTACTAGCTTCAGCCTGCAGAAGGGTTGTGGGAGCTGGGGCTTTGATGGATAAATAGGTGTTCACCAGATCTGGGCAGAGGGGTCATCCGCTCCCCAGGTGGGCACTGATGCAGGAAGGTGCAGTTCTCACCCGGCACTGCCAAGGCAGCCTCCAGAAATGCTCGGCGTCCCGGGGCATCCTCTATTCCGCCAGTCCCGCAGGACTACGTTCGGCTACTTCCGGAAACACTCGGCGTCCCCTCTCCTTGGGCTCCGCCTCGGCCTCGCCTTGTCCCGTCTATCCTGGACAAGATGCCGTGTGTTTGAGGCCCGGCAGAGCGAGCCCTTGACCGTGATGTGTCTGAAGCACCTGCTAGGGGTTCCCTCCCTGTGTCAGAGCCTCTCTGGGATGAAGTTCAAGCCGGAAAACCCAGTCGAGGCTCAAGTTTGAATTTCAGCTTCACTGTGTGGCTCTGGGAAAATGGCTTTCCCACTCTGTGCCTCAGTTTCCTTGTGTTTACAAGACTAATCCCATTGACTGTTTATTACGCACCTACTGTGTACCAAACGCTTTTACTCGTGGCTTCTCCCTCAGCCAGCCTTGAGAAGGCTGGAGGTGGCGTCATCACCTCCGTTTTACAGACAAAACAGCTGAGACCCCAGCGAGGGGCAGAGACCTGGTCCCTCGATCACCCGGCAGGAGTCGTGGCAAAGCAGACCATATCAGCCAGACCCCGTTGTGGGCACTGTCATCAAGGGAGCTTGAATGGAGGGTCTGGTGACAGATGCAGCCGACTCCAGCCCCAATCATCCCCCATGATGCAGTGTGACCCACTGGGCACTCTGGTGAGGGAGTTTTCCAGACACCCAACAGCCCACTCTGCGTCCCTTTCTGAGTCCCCTGCGCAGCACTCCTTAGTGTTGGAGGGTAGACCAAGGCTGTGCATGATTCGCCCCCTCTTTCCATCCTGGAGCTGGCAGTGAATAAAAGCCCGTATTTACAAAGATGAGCTCCAGCGTCTGGATTTATGAGGGACTGAGAAAGGAGGAAGGGAAGAGTCGGGAGGGGAGCGGAATGAAATAGACCTGTGGGTCAAAGTCATTGCAAGAGGGTTTTGAGGGCTGCATAGGAGTTCGCAGTTGAGATTCTTCCTGATGCCACCGTTAGTACCAGCCTTCTGCTACCCTCTCCCTGTGAGTACTCCATCATAGTTCTGCCCTTAAAAGCTTCCTCCAGACATCTGGGACCCTGAGCTATGGGTTTTTTTTTTTGTTTTCTGAGACAAGGTCTCGCTCTGTAACCCAGGCTGGAGGGCAGTGGCTCGATCACGACCATCTGCAGCCTTGATCCTGGGCGCCCTGAGCTATGCTAATAAAATAAATAAGCAGCCTGGTGCGGTGGCTCACGCCTGTAATCCCAGCACTTTGGGAGGCCGGGGCGGGCACATCACCTGAGGTCGGGAGTTCGAGACCAACCTGATCAACGTGCAGCAACCCCGTCCTACTAAAAACTACAAAATTAGCCGGATGTGGTGGCGCATGCCTGTAATCCCAGCTACTCGGGAGGCTGAGGCAGGAGAATCGTTTGGACCCGGGAGGCGGAGTTGCGGTGAGCCGAGATGGCGCCATTGCACTCCGGCCTGCGCAACAAGAGCGCAACTCCGTCTCAAAGTAAATAAATAAAATAAAATAAAATACGCAATCGTCGTGTCTTTCTGTGCCATAAAATTCCCTCTAGTCGAACCCAGCCCAGCCCTAGAGCAATCCGTTACTTCCGGGGCGCACAGCCGGCTTGCAAAATCTCTTGGCTACGTCCCCATTTCCGAGTGCGTTCGGTTATTTCCGGAAACAGTCGGCATCTGGGCTCAAGTCCTCTTAAATTCCCGTGCCCATAAGGGTCGAGATCGTTGGCTGTTTCCGGACGCTCTGGGTTGCCATGGAAACTCCTTCAATCCTGGCTTTTTTCGGACCTCCGCTTTCTGCCGCAGGCCCTTTACCCACTCTACTGCCACCCTGTTTGCTGAGCTTGAGAACTCCTCACTCGCCCCCCGGAACCGTCTGTGCTTCAGCAATTTCCATAAGCTAGCGGTCGCCTCTGGGTCTGTACTCCCATGGCCTCCATTGGGCACTGAGCACATTCGGCTCTTTCCTGAAACGCTCAGCGGTCTCGGGGATCAGCCTCAGTTGTGTCAGCAGCCCGAGATAGTGTTCGGCCACTTCCGGAAGCGCTCGGGCGTCTCTTAAGCCCAGCCGAGCCCAGCCTGGGCGCCCTCACCGACCCGATTACGCTCGGCTACCTCCGGAAATGCTCGGCTGTCTCGGGCGCCCTCTAGTCCGCCAGTCCCGCGGGATTACGTTCGGCTACTTCCGAAAACACTCGGGTGTCCCCTCCCCTCAGGCCCCGCCTCGGCCTTGTTTCGCCCGCCCCGCCCGAATACGTTCGGGCATTTCCGCCGGGGGCGGGCCAGGCCGCTCGGAACCGTGGCGGCAGCGGAGGCGGGGATCCCGCGGCTGCGGCGACGGTGGCCGCGGTGGAGCCACGGGGCGGGCTCGGCTTGGTGTGACGGCGGCTGCGGCGGCGGTGGCGGCCGCGACCAGGTGAGTCCTGACTGGCCCTCTTGGCGGGAGGGGCTGGGAGTGTGCTTAAATGCGGGGCTCCCAGGGCCAGTGCGGGGCCCCGCTGGAAGCCTGAACGCAAGCGCCAGGCTGCGTCGGGCCCCGCGGGAACTGGGGGGCCGCAGGGAGGGGGTGTCTCGGGCTCGTCTCCGCAGCGGTGCAGCCTCCCCGGGACGATCGGGGCACAATGAGGGGGACTCCGTGCGTTCAAGATACCGGACCGGAGCCGCGGCCCCAAATGCAGGGAGGCCCTGCCTGGAGTGGGGCGTCGAATAGTATCGAGGGGCGCCCAGGCATTGTGCGGGGCAGAATGGGGTGCGGGAGAGCCGGGGGTCGATCCCACTTCCGGTCGCCTGGCCGGGCGGCCGGGTCCACGCAGATCCGAGTGCGCGTCCGTGTGAGCGCGGAGGCCCTGCGTTCACCCGGGGAGCCCCCAGCCCTGCCTGCCCCGCCCCTCCCGCCTCCCGTATTCGGGGAGCGCTGCTCCCGGGGCGCGCACACCGGGGCGCGGAGGCGGGCTGGCAGGCAGATGCAGGCGGTTTCCTGGGCATCCCCTCCCGGGGCCTCAGTTTCCCCACCTGTAGAACGAAGGTAGCAGGGTCCTGGGAGTGGGTAAGTTGGGCACCCGAGTATGTGGAGCCCCTTCTTCCTGCTCGGACACCTCTTGGGGCTCCCCATGGCTGAAGGGTGCTCAGAGCCTCCTCCTGACACCCGGGCCCCTTGGTGGCTGGCACCTATCCTTATAGCCACCCTGAATCCTTGACAGGCACCTTACCCGCTGCCAAGCCTTTGCATGCGCTGTACCCTCTCCCTAGGACACCTTCCTATCCACGGTGATGACCCATTCTGTAGAAAAGCACGTCCGTCCCTCCACCCTAGCCCTTTCGTCACAGGAGGACTGAACCTGCGGGGCTAGGCTGGGAATGTGTGCCCATCTCTGCCTCCCCAGGCTAGGGCTCCTGGGGAATGATCGGCCCCCTGCAGCGGGCAGCCTTCCCTCCTTCTCAGCTGCAGTACCCCCACCTTCTCCTAGCTCCCTGTCCCTCCCTGGGGCTAAGGCTCCTTTTGAGCACCTCTCCGTCTGCAATTTTTTTTTTTTTTTTTTTTTTTTTGAGACAGAGTCTCTGCTCTGCCGCCCAGGCTGGAGCATCTCGGCTCACTGCAACTTCCACCTCCCAGGTTCCAGCGATTCTCCTGCCTCAGCCCCCCAGGTAGCTGGGATTACAGGCGTGAGCCACCACGCCCAGCCTCCGCCATCTGCATTTTGCACTTACTCTGGGCCCCAGGCTGGAGCTCCCTGCCCCCGCCCACTCCCCCTCTGGACAGGAGGTCCGCTTGCTTGGAGTTACTGCTAGGTCTTTGCTTGTGCAGGGGCCTCTCCCTGGACTTCCTTCCCTACCTCTTAGTTCAGCTGGCCTAACCCCTCCATGGGGCTCCCAAAGCAGCCGGAGGGGCCCCCATTTCATCCTCCCTGCCCTGGGTGTCTGGCCACCTGGCTCCTTCACCGTCATATCCATCTGGGCCTTGGAGTCCAAGGATCTGAGTGTAAGTCCTGGCTTCCTCCTGGCCTACCGCAAGGCCCTAGATACCTCCCTGCTCTGAGCCTCAGTTTCCCCATGTGTAACAGGGGTGATTAAAAGCTTGTTTACTTACTGGGTGCAGTGGCTCACACCTGGAATCCCAACACTTTGGAAGGTCAAGGCGGGAGGGTCGCTTCAGCCCAGGAGTTTAGGACCAGCCTGAGCAACATAGCAAGACCCCACCTCTATTAAGGGGAGGTGGCTCATGCCTGTAATCCCAGCATTCTGGAAGGCCAAGGTGAGTGGATCACTTGAGGTTTGGAGTTTGAGACTAGCCTTGCCAACATGGAGAAACCTCATCTCTATTAAAAATACAAAATTAGCCGGCCTGTAATCCCAGCTACTCAGGAGGCTGACGCAGGAAAATCATCTGAACCTGGGAGGCAGAGGTTGCAGTGAGCTGAGATGGCGCCACTGCACTCCAGCCTGGGCGATAGAGCCAAACTCCATCTCAAAAAAAAAAAACAAAAAAAAAAACAAGAAAAAAACTGGTTTACTGAGCATGTACTATACCTGGGGCAGGTTCTTGGGAGCTCCACTCCCAGCAGCTCCAAGGGAAGGCTGGCAGCATACCCATTTTATAGATGGAGAAGCTGAGGCCCTGAGAGGGACCGGCCCCACGGTCAACCAGTGTGATTCAGGGAATTCCACATCAGGATTTGGGCCCGTGTCCGTGTTGGGGTGAGAGGAGTCGGCCTGGCCAGCGCTGCCCTATCCCTCTCTCCCTAGGTCGGCGTCCTCGGCCGGCCCAGCATGGTGGCAGTCTGCTCCCTTGGCTCCCTCGTCTGGCGCAGCCAGCAGAGCCGCCAGCCGTGGGTGCTGATGGCCCTCCGTGTGACGGCATGAGCGGCCTGCCCCAGCCCCACCCACCGATGGAGGACTTAGTGGCCCAGTGACCTGAGACCCCGCCACCAACCCCCTCCCACAAGTTGACGAATGGTGGACTCAGCGACCAGTGGCCCTTGTCAGGGTCATGGAATAATTTGAAGAGAGACATGAGCGGCCCCCGTGGTCGCCTGTGACTGCTGGAGATAGAGGTGCGAGCACCCCAAGCCAACCCAGCGGACCCTCCCAGGCCCCGCTCTGGCCAATGGGGCCAGTGGGACTCCAAGCAGCCGCCTAAGCATCCAGACCCCACCCCCCAGGTGGCCATGGCGGGCCCTGAGGGCTTCCAGTACCGCGCTCTGTACCCGTTCCGCCGGGAGCGGCCGGAGGACCTGGAGCTGCTGCCTGGCGACGTGCTGGTGGTGAGCCGGGCGGCCTTGCAGGCACTGGGCGTGGCCGAGGGTGGCGAGCGCTGCCCACAGAGCGTGGGCTGGATGCCCGGCCTCAATGAACGCACACGGCAGCGAGGTGACTTCCCTGGCACCTACGTCGAGTTCCTGGGGCCTGTGGCCCTGGCCCGGCCCGGCCCTCGCCCACGGGGCCCCCGCCCAGTGCCCGCCAGGCCCCGTGATGGGGCCTCTGAGCCAGGTAAGTGGCAAGCCAGGGCCCTGGAAAATGGGAGTGGTCCCCTCAGACCCTTGGTCTCCTCTTTTGTCCAGTCAGGCAGTGGGACCTCTCCAAAGAAGGAGGAAAAAGGACATTTGGTCATGTGACAAGTGTCTTTGCTACTATCAAGTGCTAGGCTCAGCAGTGAGCACAAGGCCTGGTCCTGCCCTCGTGATCTTCCGGTTCAAGAAGGGATGAGTGTGTTTAGGAGGGGCCACCCGCTGTGAGGAAGGGGGCTTGCGTGGGAAGACCCGAGGGTGGAGGCTCCAGACAGTGGGCACAGCGAGGGCAGGGGCTGTGGGTGGAGCTCTGATGGCGGGAACAGCCAGCAGGCGGACCGGAGGGAGGAAGGCGAGGGCAATGCGCGCTGCCCTGGAGGACCTGCTGGGGTCGATTTTGAGGCCAGTGAGAGTGTTCAGTAGGATTCAGAACTCAGCCTAGCTTCAGCCTACATTTTGCAGATAGGGTCCGTTGAGGAACCCCTTTGGTGACCCTGATTTCCAAAATGAAGAAAGCCACAAAGCCCAAGGAGGTTGGGATGTAGGGTTGCTCAGCTGAGGCCACACAGCACAGGGGGGTGTGAGGACCCCACATCCCTCCCCAAAGACCTGTGGCCGTCACCACTTGCCAAGGGTGTGCCAGGAGTGGAGAACTGGGCACCCTGAGCCCACTCGGCGATTGCTGTGTGATGGGCAGGGGGCGTGGGCTCTGGCTGGGGAAACCGAGGCTCGGGTTGCAAGGAGGAAGCCACGGGGGGGCTGCATGCCCAGCACGGTCTGCTCCCGCCCTCCCAGCGGCCCAGCAAGGCCGTACGTGCAGACTGGGAGGCCTGAGTGCAGGCAGTCAGATGCCTCACGTGGAACCAGTCGGTCACCCAGGAAGCCCAAAGCCCCAGGAGGTGCCAGGCCTGCTTGGTGCCAGGGTGACACTGCCCAAAGGCAAGCCAGAGTCCCCAGCACAGGGCAGAATAAGGGGGTGCTGAGGTGGTACAACGCTGGCTCGGCCTCTGGCATCTGGCCTCTCCAGGACCCAGGCCTGCGTCCCGCCTTGGCCGAAGGAGCAGGAGGCGGCCCCGGCCGGGCTCCCAGCCAAAATCTGCCTCTCTCCCTGGTAACAGCCGCCTCCCTCCTCTGCCTGGCCTCTGTCCAGTCACCGTACACCGCCCCACCTCTGAATCTTCAGGGTTATGTGACTTCAGCCAGAACCCACCCACCCCCCAAGGCCTCAGTTTCCTCATCTGGAAACAAAAGGGTTGGCCCCTGGGGACGCTGGGACCCAACCCCTCGGGAATGTCCCTAAGTCACCTGAGCCCTACCTGGCTGTGCACCCACAGGGGAGGCTGCAGCCCCTCTCAGCCACAAATGCTCACCTGTGAATGGGAGTGATGCGGTCCCGATGGGAACTCCATCCCCGCTGTGCAGTCCGATCCCAGGCGACTCGGAGTGTGTCCCAACCCACCGGCCGGAGTGTCACCCACTTCCTCTCCCCTCGTCCTTTATCATTTTTTTCTTTGGCCTTTTTCCTGCAGCTGGGCCTTTCTCCAGCTTGAGGCGCCACCTGGCCCATCACTCAGGGAGGCCCCGCAGGCCCCGGCTTGCCCCTGCTGTGTGCCAGGGCGTCCCCGCCGAGGGCCAGAGCTGCGTCCCACAGTGGCAGACAGCTTGCGCTGAGGCTGGGAAGCGGCGCACAGAGGGCCCTGTGGAACCGGGGAGCCAGGGCTTGCGGGGGGGCGCCTGGGCTTGGAGGGGTTTTGGCTTTTCCAAAAGGGAAAAAGGATTCTCTTTCTACATTTTAATTGGGGGAGGAAAGAATTTTAGAAGCACAGTGATTGAGAAAACGGAGCATGGTCCTTGGAAGGAGGCTTTTCTGACCCGGGCCGGGAGTTTCCTTTCCTTTCATCCACTTTTGTGTTTGCATCAAGAAGGGAGAAGTGGGCCGGGCACGGTGGCTCACGCCTGTAACCCCAGCACTTTGGGAGGCCGAGGCGGGCGGATCACTTAAGGTCGGGAGTTCGAGACGAGCCTGGCCAACATGGTGAAGCCCCATCCCTACTAACATAGTACAAAACTGAGCCAGGCATGGTGGCGCACACCTGTAATCCCAGCTCCCCAGGAAGCTAAGGCACAAGAATCATTTGAACCCAGGAGGTGGAGGTTGCAGTGAGCCGAGATCACGCCACTGCACTTAAGCCTGGAAAACGGAGGGAGACTCCATCTCAAAAAAAAAAAGGGGGGGGGGGAGGCCGAGGCAGGAGGATCACTTGGCCAGGAATTCGAGGCTGCAGTGAGCTAGAATTGCCCACTGCTCTCCAACCTGGGTGACAGAGCAAGAACCTGTCCCAAAAAAAAAAAATTGGAGACAATGTCATTGGCCCATTTTTTATTTGAAAGAACTGAGGCTGCAGGGTGTGGTGGCTCACGCCTGTAATCCCAGCACTTTGGGAGGCTGAGGCGGGCGGATCACCTGAGGTCAGGAGTTCGAGACCAGCCTGGCCAACATGGTGAAACCCCATCTCTACTAAAAATACAAAAAGTTAGCTGGGAGTGGTGGTGGGCACCTGTAATCCCAGCTACCCAGGAGGCTGAGGCAGGAGAATCTCTTGAACCCCAGAGGTGGAGGTTGCAGTGAGCCGAGATTGCGCCACTGCACTCCAGCCTGGGCAAGAAAGCAAGACTCCACCTCAAAAAAAAAAGAAAAAAGAAAGAAAAAAAGACCTGAGACCCAGAGAGGGCAGGTCCTGTGGCCAAGTTTGCGCAGTGGGCTGTGGTGAAGTCCACACCTGCTGTTTGACTTTCAGTGGCTGCTGTAAAAAAAAAAAAGTTACCACAAACTCAGCGGCTTCAAACAATGGAAACTTATTTATTTATTTATTTATTTATTTTGAGACAGAGTCTCAGTCTGTCGCCAGGTGCCAGGCGGGGCCTCGGCCTCCCAAAGCGCTGGGATTACAGGCCTGAGCTGCTGTCCTGGCCGGCTTTCTCTTCTTAGAAGGACACCAGCCAGTGGGTTTAGGGCCCACCGTGACGCCAGGCTGGTCCCGCGTGGACATCTTTGCTTTCCTTACCCCTGCAAAGACCTCTTTCCAAATCACGTCACAGCCACAGGCACCAGGGCTGAGCACTTGAACGTAGCATTTGGGGGACATTATTTAGTGCACCCCACCTGGTCTGTGAAGTCGTGTGAACTGCTGGTATTTTAACCCAGAAAACTGTGTCCCATCAGTTCCGCCCTCCCCCAGCCCCTCCAGCCAAGGTCTTGTGGCCTCCTGAGGAAGGCAGTCCAAGGTGCCAGGCACTTCCCTGAGGTCCCTGCTTCACACCACCCTGGCCGAGGTTCAGCAGACAGAGAGGGGCTGGACTCCTTCCAGGTACCCCACCAACATGTAACACCGCCGCCTCCCTCCCCCCCACTTCCTCCGCCAGGCCTCACACTCCCCGACTTGCCGGAGCAGTTCTCCCCACCTGATGTGGCGCCCCCTCTTCTGCTGAAGCTTGTAGAGGTCATGGAACGGACGGGTGAGTTCCAGCCTGGCTGCAGCCCCCTGGATTCTGCTTCCTTACCTCTAGTGACAGGCAACTCATCCCCTCGCAGGACCTCCAAGCTCATGCCGCACAGAAGCGAGCTGAGCCTGGATGCCCTGGGCCTCTCTGTTGACTAGGCCAGAGTGACTCCCAGGGGAAGAGGGGAAGGTGGACACAACCAGGCCACTGCATGTGCTGTGCCCTCGGCAAGATCTCCCTCCGCACCCCTCCCATGTCCTTATCTCTGGGTGTCAAAGCGAGACGGCAGGGGGCTTTGAGCAGCCAGCCCAGGCCTCACGGGGTTGGGGCAGCATTTGAGAGCTGACTCGCCTGTCCCCTCACCCCCAGGGCTGGACAGCGAATCTTACTACCGGCCAGAGCTCCCCGCACTGCGTACAGGTGAGGGGCAGCCTCAGTGGGCAGTGGGTTGGCGGGGAACCTGGGGGCCCTAGTACACATCAGCTGGACATGTCCCCCCTGCACCCGCAGACTGGTCCCTGAGCGACGTGGATCAGTGGGATGCAGCAGCCCTGGCCGATGGCATTAAGAGCTTCCTGCTGGCACTGCCCGCGCCGCTGGTGACCCCCGAGGCCTCGGCCGAGGCGCGCCGGGCCCTGTGGGGTGAGCCTGGCGGGGAGCCCAGGGGACGGGGGGGGCTGCAGCGGGCGGGAGGGTGCCAGGCCCGGCTCACCCTACCCTGGCCATCTGTCCGCAGAGGCCGGGGGGCCCGTGGGGCCGGCGCTGGAGCCCCCGATGCTGCCGCTGCACCGCGCTCTCACGCTGCGCTTCCTGCTCCAGCACCTGGGCCGCGTGGCCCGCCGCGCCCCGACTCTGGGTCCCGCAGTTCGGGCCCTGGGCGCCACCTTCGGGCCGCTGCTGCTGCGCCTGCCGCCGCCGTCCTCACCGCCGCCAGGGGGCGCGCCCGACGGGTGAGGGGCGGGGCCTTGGGTCCTCGCCCGCGGAGCGGGACCGGGCGGAGTTAGAGCGAGCAGGGGTGGAGTTATGGGTGGAGTTTGGGGCGGGGTGGGCGGGGCTTGGCCAGACAAGTGGCGTCTAGACTCTAAGGGAGGGGCGGGGTCCAGAGTGAAAACCTGTATTCTTGTGATGATGAAGGAGAGGGGCTCTGGGCTCCTGGGTCGTGGGACAGAGGGCGAGGGGGTCTAGTCCTGAGGCATGTGGGTGGCGCCTGCACCTTCCCTCCTGCTCATGGCAGCTCCGGTACTGCTCTCTTGCTCGCCTTTGTGTGAGGATTTATGGAGCACTTACTGCATACACGTATGAGGGAGCTGGTCTCACACACCTGCCTGTATCATCTCCCCCCGCCCTGCACGTACCTGCACATACCGTCTCGTATATACGCCGCAGGCGTGCAAGCGCACGCTCAGTCCTGGGCACACGCGTGGGTGGAGCGGCCCCACCCAGCCCTCCCCTACTCCCTCCCCCCTCAGGAGTGAGCCCAGCCCTGACTTCTCGGCGCTGCTCGTGGAGAAGCTGCTTCAGGAACACCTGGAAGAGCAGGAGGTTGCGCCCCCAGGTGAGTCCTCTGTATCGCTGGTCATTTCTTGCCGTTGGGGGACCGTGAACGCGGATCTCTGGGTGCTGCTGGCATCAGCAGGCGGGCTGCAGTGGGAGGCAGCCGCAGTGTACAGCCGGTGCTCAGGATGCATTTGTTTTCCTGTCCCCCAGCGCTGCCACCTAAACCCCCCAAGGCAAAGCCGGTCCCCGCAGGCCTGGCCAATGGGGGGAGCCCATTGTCCCTGCAGGATGCTGAGTGGTACTGGGGGGACATCTCGAGGTAGGTTGCTGGCAGAGGGCCAGGGGCCAAGGAGGTGTCACAAGGCGGGCGGGGTCTCCAGGTGGCTCAGCAGCCCCAATGCGAGATGTCCCCACAGGGAGGAGGTGAACGAGAAACTCCGGGACACTCCCGATGGCACCTTCCTAGTCCGAGATGCTTCCAGCAAGATCCAGGGCGAGTACACGCTGACCCTCAGGTGGGGGCCTGTCCCTGCAGGGATGGTGGAGGTCACAGATCACAGAGACTGGGAGCTCAGAGGGGGTGGGACATGTGTGGTATCAAGGATGGGCGGCCAGGCGCGGTGGCTCATGTCTATTATCACAGCAGTTTGGGAGGCCGAGGCGGACAGATCACCTGAGGTCAGGAGTTCAAGACCAGCCTGGCCAACCTGGTGAAACCCTGTCTTTACTAAAAAATACAAAAATAAGCCAGGTGTGGTGGTGGGTGCCGGTAGTCCCAGCTACTCGGGAGGCTGAGGCAGGAGAATCGCTTGAACCCAAGAGGCAGAGGTTGCAGTGAGCTGAGATGGCGCCACTGCACTCCAGCCTGGGCATCAAAGGGAGACTCCATCTCAAAAAAAAAGGGACAGGAGGATTGCGGGTCAGGTGCGGGGTCCCACTGGGTGCCAACACCCCTCTCCTCCCGCAGGAAAGGCGGGAACAATAAGCTAATCAAGGTCTTCCACCGAGACGGGCACTATGGCTTCTCAGAGCCGCTCACCTTCTGCTCCGTTGTCGACCTCATCAATCACTACCGCCACGAATCCCTGGCCCAGTACAACGCCAAGCTGGACACGCGGCTTCTCTACCCTGTGTCCAAATACCAGCAGGTCCGTGCCAGCCTGGGAGCCAGGGAGGGTAGCACCTGGCCGGCCCCAGGCCTCAGTTTCCCAGATAGGCCTGACCAGGCCATGCAGCTCCCCTGATTCCCCCGTGTTTCTCCAGGACCAGATCGTCAAGGAGGACAGCGTGGAGGCGGTGGGCGCCCAGCTCAAGGTCTATCACCAGCAGTACCAGGACAAGAGCCGCGAGTACGACCAGCTTTATGAGGAGTACACACGGACCTCCCAGGTACGCCGGGCCCCGCACATGGGGGAAACCGAGGCACAGAGGGGCAGTGGCAAGGCTGGGAGCAGGATGACCAACCCCAAGGGCCTGAGGATAAACATCCGGTTCCAGGTCACAGAGCAGGCACTCAGCATCAAGGGCCGTTCTGAAAACATAGAAATAAGGCCAGGCACAGTGGCTCATGTCTGTGCCCTGGGAGGCTGAGGCAGGAGGATCAGTTGAGCCCAGGAGTTCAAGATCATTCTAAGCAACATAGGGAGACCCCTCAAGAAAAAAATTTAAAAACTAACCAAGTGTGGCGGTACTTGCTTCTAGTCCCAGCTACTCGGGAGGCTGAGGTGGGAGGATCGCTTGAACCTGGGAGTTGGAGGCTGCAGTGAGCTGTGATCACGCCACTGCACTCCAGCCTGGGTGACAGAGCAAGACCTTGTCTCTAAAAACAAGTAAATAAAAACAGAAATAGGTGTATGAGGCCGGGCGCGGTGGCTCACGCCTGTAATGCCAGCACTTTGGGAGTCCGAGGCAGGCAGATCCTCTGAGGTCAGGAGTTTGAGACCAGCCTAGTCAACATGGTGAAACCTCGTCTCTACCAAAAATACAAAAAAATTAGCTGGGTGTGGTGCCACGCACCTGTAAATACCAGGTACTGAGGAGGCTGAGGCAGGAGAATCACTTAAACCCAGGAGGTGGAGGTTGCAGTGAACCAGGATCGTGCCACTGCTCCAGCCTGGGTGACAAGAGCCAGACTCCATCTTAAAAAAAATAAACTTTTCTTTTTGAGGTGCGTGGTCTCACCACGTTGCCCAGGCTGGCCTCAGACTCCTCGATCCAAACGATCCTCCCACTTCAGCCTCCTGAGTAGCTGGGATTACAGGGAATGGCCACCACCTCTGGCCTCTGTCCCTTTTACTGATGTGTTAGCCGAGACTCTAAATGGACAAGATACCTGTCCAGAATCAGTTAGGAGCACTGTAGCCTCAAGTGACTTTGGGCCTGAACCTCAGTTTCCCTGTTAATAGTTGTTACTTTGTTGGAGGTTGTTGGAAAGGTCCAGGGGACAATGCAGGGAAAGTCCTAGTGCAGTGTCTACCCCAAGACGAGGCCTGTGAGCGGTAGCAACTAGATCTCTCATTCATTTTCAGCGGTGTTAACAGGTCCAGGTCTTTGTGCATACCTATAGGAGGCTATAAAGAAGGAGAGGGTTTCGGGAGTGGGGTTTTGAAAACTGAATAGGAGTTCATTTAGTGCAGCAGGAGTTAGAAGAATGACACTCCAGCTGGGCACAGTGGCTCACGCCTGTAATCCCAGCACTCTGGGAGGCCGAGGCAGGCAGATCACAAGGTCCGAAGTTCAAGACCAGCCTGGCCAATATGGTGAAACCCCATCTCAACTAAAAATACAAAACTTAGCCAGGCATGGTGGCATATGCCTGTAGTCCCAGCTGCTCTGGAGGCTGAGGCAGGAGAATTGCTTGAACCTAGCAGGCGGAGGTGGCAGTGAGCCAAGATTGCACCACTGCACTCCAGCCTGGGCGACAGAGTGAGACTCCGTCTCAGAAAAAAGAAAAAAAAGAATGACACTCTGATAGAGGGAGAGCCTGAGCAGCCTCCATATCACAGTTGAGATGTGCCTTCACCCCTCACGAGGGCCTTTTGGGGAGTCCCAGGAGGTGCTGAGATGCACCCACTCCTCCAGGAGCTGCAGATGAAGCGTACGGCAATCGAGGCCTTCAATGAGACGATCAAGATCTTCGAAGAGCAGGGCCAGACCCAGGAGAAGTGCAGCAAGGAATACCTGGAGCGCTTCCGGCGTGAGGGCAACGAGAAGGAGATGCAGAGGTGAGTCTGGCACCTCTGCCCCACCCCACCCCACCCCACCCTGATCCGGTGCAGCACCAGCGCGAAGGGAAGGAAGTAGAAGGAGGCCAGCCACCTGGAGGCGAAGAGCCTTCTGTTGAAGTGGACTTTGGGCGGGGCGTGGTGTCTCAGGCCTGTAATCCCAGCATTTTGGGAGGCCGAGGTGGGTGGATCACTTGAGGTCAGGAGTTCGAGACCAGCCTGGCCAACATGGCGAAACCCCGTCTCTACTAAAAATACAAAAATTAGCCGGCATGGTGGCACTTGCCTGTAGTCCCAGCTACTAGGGAGACTGAGGCAGGAGAATCACTTGAACCTGGGAGGTGGAGGTTGCTGTGAGCTGAGATTGAGGCACTCCAGCCTAGGCAACAGAGCAAGACTCTCTCAAAAAAAAAAAAAAAGAAAAAGAAAAAAAAGAAAGAAATGGGCTTTGAAGGATGAATAGGAGTTTGCCAGAAAGAGAAATCAGAGGAAACAGCAGGGGCACAGGCTCAGAGGCTGGATGCACATAGTCTGGTGCAAAGTAGGTCCTTGAGAAAACCCTGGAAGCCAGGTGCAGCTCCCTGCTTCCCTGTGGCTCATTTTGGCAATCCCAGCACTTTGGCAGGCTGAGGCTGGAGGATTGCTGGAGCCCAGGAGCTTGAGACCAGGCTGGGCAACATGGTGAAACCTCATCTCTACAAAAAATATTAAAATATTAGCCAGACATGGTGGTGCACACCTGTGGTCCTAGCTACTCCGGAGGCTGAGGTGGGAGGGTCACCTGAGCCAGGAATTTGAGGCTGCAGTGCGCCGCCATAAAACGCTGAGGTCGGCAGAGGGCGGAGGCTCGCTCCGGTAATCCCAGCACTTTGGGAGGCTGATGCGGGTGGATCACCTGAGGTCGGGAGTTTGAGACCAGCCTGACCAACATGGAGAAACCCCGCCTCTACTAAAAATACAAAATTAGCTGGGCATGGTGGCACATGCCTGTAATCCCAGCTACTCAGGAGACTGAGGCAGGAGAATTGCCTGAACCCAGGAGGCGGAGGTTGCGGTGAGCCGAGATCGG